TATTAGCCTAGCGACAATGCTAGCAGGGACGGTGACCAACCCATTCAACAATGGTTTCTTTTAGGGGCCACTAAGCGTGCCATTAGAGGTCGTGCGCCAATGCCCTGCCTGAGCCCGTCATTGGTCACCATTTCTTCGATGGTGATGGCATAGTTCACGCTATAAGCATCCACGATAGCTCGACTGCCTTGAATGTAATCGGGGAAGATGACAAGTACCCTGTCATAGAAGAGAAGAAGCCGAGCAATTCCATAATGGTCGTGAAGCTCACCAATGGCCTTTGAAAAGACAGGGCGGCCAAGTGCCCATTCCTACATGAAATGTTGTGTCTTAGTGAAGTGGCAAGCATAGCTAGTCAAGCCGTCGTGGATGCTAATAGCATGAACAATACCGTCACCATCGAAGAAGTAGTGACCAGCGACGGGCTTGAACAAGGGATTGGCACCACTACGAATGTAGACACCTTGAATGTAATCGGGGAATAGGATAAATGGACCACGACTCCTTTTGAATAGAGGTTCCGGTTTCATCATAGGGAACGCTATTTTCGCAAGGAAAAAAATGATTTCACATGCGGATACCTTTTCCTGTAGGAAGAAAAGGCCATGTTGCCCAAAACAAAGGTCTATCCCGCCTTTGTATATATGATAGATGCTTAGAGATACTTAAAATTTATTTTTCATAGGTTCAAGTTTTATGCAAGTAACTTGCAGGGACCCGTGYGATGTATGGGATTTGTTAAGCGAAAGCTAAACAATAGAAACATATAAGATTATACAATTGTCTTATATTTTCATATTTTTAAATAATTAATAGTTATTTATATTTTGGGTTCGGCTATGATATGGGAAAGATATGATATCTAAATTTTTTTGACCAATCAATTGGTATCATAAAGCGTGGTAGCCAATCAGATGTTATTTATGAAAATTTAAGGGTGAATTTTGATTGGTCAAAACTCTTCCGATACCGTATCTTTCCTGCATTATAGATTTTCTCTTATATTTTATATACTACTTTTAATAATTTTTTCATAATACAAAATAACAATAATCATTTTCATCTACGGTTGTTCATCAAACTAATGAAACCAACCAAATCGACCCGAGTTGGTTTAACAATTTCCAAACCTGACCATATTAGATCAGTTTCACTTTGGCCATTTGTAAATCGACCAAAATCAAATGACACAACATATATATATTATTTTTAATATAATTTTTTTATTACGGGAAAGTGGAAAAGAATCACGGGGAGTTAGGATCCTCGTGGAGACGGGGATGGGGAAAGGCTCCTCGTCCCACCCCGCCTCGTTCCCATTCCCAATCAAACTAATGAAACTAACCGACCCAATTTCTGGTATTTCCAGTCGGCTTTGGTTCAACAATTTTCTAACCCGAATGGGTTGGATTAGTTTTGCTTTGGCCATTTGTAAACTAAATAAAATCGAATAACCCGATCATAAATATATATTAATATTTTATATTTTAAATATGTTTTTTAATACAGGAAAGTGGGAAAATTCCAATATTTCTTATGCTAAAATATTTTTAATAATGCCATTGTAATTTTTTTAAAAAAATCTAAACTTAATTTTCAAGTTTAAATCTTTTGAACCGATCAACCAAACCAAAAATTGACCCAAACCGATAACCTAAGTGACCAACCCCCCAACCTGATCAGGTCGGTTTGGTTGGCCAAACAACTTACAACTAAACCGAACCAATCTGTGAACAATAGTTTAATCTCCAATAATTATTAAAAAATTATAGCAAAAATACATAATGAATTAAATTTGAAAAGCTAAGTAACAATAGTTTAAATTCCAATAACTATTAAAACTTTAATATTAAATAACAAAACAAAAAATATATTTATACATGATTAATGAAAATATATGTATCACAAAAAACAATAAATAATTACTAAAATATAATAAATATTAATTTTAGTATATATAAATATATAATAAATATGGAATAGGTTTTAAAATTATTATTAATAAACATTAATTTTTTTTGAAAGTTATTTTCTATAATTATTAATTGGTATAAATGAAAATAGTTATTTGCAATATTATTTATTTATTAAAATAATATCATTATTTAAAATTTAAAATATTAATTACTTATTGAATTTAATAATCCATAATTATAGTACTATTAATACATAATTTTGTTATTTTAACTATTTAAAATATAGTTATGTTAAAAATTTAGTTATTTAGCTAAATGTTTAAAATCATAACCCATGTATTATAATTGAAAGTTATTAAGTAACTATTTAAAACGTATTTTTAATTGATTTAATAATTATTGAAAATTTTCTATTAAATAACAAAACAAAAATATATTTATACATAATTATTGAAAATATATTTATCGCAAAAAATAATAAATAATTACTGAAATACAATAAATATTAATTTTAGTATATATAAATATAGATTAAGTTTTTAAATTTATTGTTATAAACATTTTTTTAAATTTATTTTCTATAATTATTAATTGGTATAGATGAAATTAGTTATTTGCAATATTATTTATTTATTGAAATACTATCATTATTTAAATTTTAAAATATTAATTACTTGTTGAATTTTATAATCCATAAAATTATATTACTATTAATACATAATTTTGTTATTTTAACTATTTAAAATCTAGTTATGTTAAATATTTAATTATTTAAAATATTTAGTTATTTAACTAAATATTTAAAATCTTTATCTATTATTATAATTGAAAGTTATTTAGTAAATATTTGAAATATATTATTAATTGATTTAAAATATTAATTTTAGTATTTTGTTATTTGAAATTATTCAGTAAATATTCATATTATTAAGAATATGAATATTATTAAATTGATTATAATTATTTTTGTATTTTTAATAAATATTTTAAATTTATTATATAATTTTTGTTACAATATTTAAATAATTATTAAATTTGTAATTCAAACTTTCTTTAGATAGATGTAGGTAAAAAGTGGGGGAGAAGATAAATACAATTTAGTGATAATTATGGAAAAAAAATCTATAGGAGAAATTTTAGGATACTAGATTATTTAGGTTATCGGAACGTGTAGAGAGAGATGTTTTAGGATTTTTTTGGGAAAAAGTATAGTTTCTAAGTGGTAATTT